TGAGCATATTGTAAAAAAAACAATATTACAAAAATGTCAATGCTAATTAATTTCCAGCTTAGCAGAAGTGTTTATTTATTTACGATAATGACATTGTTTATGCCAATTTTGAATACTTTTGTTATAATAAATTTGCCAGACTAATGATGGTAGAATTCTGAAAACTAAATAATTATAATTTTGGGTGATAGAATTACTGCAACACGACAGACTTAAATACATAAGTCTCTCTTATGATGTGACAAATTTATTTTCGAAAGTCATATTTAATGACAATAGATAGACTTATTTTCTCTTTTCTCTTCCCTGAATAACTTAAGAACACATTCAATATGACTTTCGAAAACCCTAAAAGAAAAAAGAGAAAACCCTAATTCATCTTGTTCTCTCTCTCCAATAGCGCTGCTCTTCTTCTTCCCCTTCTTTCTCGTCTTCTTAACCTTCCATTCCTCTCTTGCTCTCCTCTTTCTCTTTTTTTTTTTGTTATATTTTGTTGCATGAATAGTTACTCTCTATGAACTTCAAAAAATCGATGTTTCAGATCGAAAAAGAGGCCTAGCCCTACCAATTTTTGGTACCAAGGCACCTCCAACGTTTCCAAGCTCGGAGATCTAGATCTTCCCATAGCTTCTACAATTCGTTATGTTATTACGTGAGTTTTCTTTCTTAATTTTTGATTTCTTTTAATTTTTTTCTAGATCTGGTTTTTGGATCTAGTATCGATGATAAACTAAGGAGATGCAGTGGTTGGCGGTGACAGAAAACTTAATTTTTTTGTTGTTGTTGCAGATAACTTGTTTAATATGTGGTTCTCTTCGGCGGTACAAGATTCTGGTGAAAGAAAATTATTTTCCGTTGGATGGTAGATTTTATTGTTGTAAAGTTTGTAACGTGTGATGGTAGATTTATTTTAATAATAATAAGTGGTTTGATAGATTTATTAGTTATTTGACAATATATTTATTTGATAAAACGATATGTGGTTTGGTATATTTATTAGTTATTTGATGGTAAATTATTTTAAAAACGATATATGGTTTGGAAGATTTATTAGTTATTTGATGGTAAATTTATTTAAAACGCTCTGTGGTTTCGTAGTTTTTTTATTAGTTATTTGATGGTAGATTTATTTGTTAATGATTGTATAATTATTGTTTTATATGATGGTAGAATTGTTAGTTATTTGATGGTAGATTTATTTGAAAATGATATATGGTTTGATAGATTTGTTTGAACTTTGAATATGAATGATGGCGTTTGTTTGTTCTTCTCTAACAGGTTATGCGCTTCATGTGGCGGACGAGTCTCCGACGGGATTTCCGGCATCGATCCGGCGTGTTTTACTATGAATTGTACATTTGGATTTAGTATATTAGTTTTTAAACTGATGGTAGATTTGTTTTAAAATCATGGTAGATTTATTATTGAAGTGATATAAGATCTATATTTGAATTTGTACAAATGATAATTAGATTTTAAATGATGATAGCTTTGTTTTCAAATATAATTGTTGCAAAACACTGAACCAAACATTCTTTTTTACCATATTTGCTAGTGATAATACCATTCGGTTTTTTTTCCTTATGTTCACTTTGATGTATAACCAAAGTGAGTGAGATATTAACCAAAACACATGACTAAAGTCATATAACATTGTAGTGTTCAAGAGTTAATGCAAAATGAGTTAAATATAATAGAATATTCACAAATAAAAAATAAAATAAAAATCGTAAATAAAAAGATAGTTAAAAAAACTGATGTATGTGTCATAAAGTATGTTCCTTCTATGTTGTAGTACTAAGTGATAAACAGAGTTCAAATTAGATGTGTATCTCTATAACACATCATTTACATGATACCAATTATCTCCTTCTCATGCGTTCACTGTGATCTATGTACCAAATTCACTGTGATCTATGTCCCAATAATCTTCTGTGATTGGTTTTAGTGTTTTTCACAAACTTGTGCAAAAAAAACGTCAATGGCTACAAAACCAAATCGCAAATAACCATGGAACAAGTCTACCAAACATAAGAAACTTTTTACCACATATACTATAACAACACTACAAAACAAGTCTACCACATCTCTCGTTTTTTCGTAGATTGCAATTTACGTTTAGGGCAAAACAGTAATTTGCAGTGAAAAAGTCAAATGTCTACCGCAAGCATTGTACATAAGTCTACCGCAAGCCATCTAAATAACTCTACCATTAATAAAAGTCTACCATCAAGCTCAATATAAGTCTACCAAATCGAGGTTATCAAAGTAAATACCAAAGTTTTTAAGTCTACTACATTAAGCTCATTTTAAGTCTACCATATGTGAAATAACTCTACCAAGTTCTTCAAAATCTACCACAACTATGAACAAATCTACCAATAGTTTCTAAGTTTACCGTACCTATCAGTAAATCTACCATAGTTTGGGATTAAATCACCGACGTTTGACTTGAATTTAAATATACCACACTGCTAATAAATCTACCAACCATAAATAAATCTACAAATTCCATAACAAGTCTACCACAAAAGAGATAAATCTACTGTCATGTTAATTTAAATTTTAGTAAATAACTCTACCACCAAAAGGGATAAATCTACCAATTTGGATATTAAATCTAACCCCATTCTCAACAAATCTACCAACAAAGTCAAACATTTCCTGTAAGTCAACAAATTGATAAAAAAAGTCTACCAACACATAAATAAGTGTGCCAAATATGATAAAATATCTACCAAAAATAAACAAATCTACCGTCTCATGAAGATATCTCTACCAAGAAAAGTCTATCAAAAATTTATAAATCTACCGTCTCATGAAGATATCTCTACCAAGAAAAGTCTATCAAAAATTTATAAATCTACCAACTTCTGAACAAATCTACCATCGTTCAAACAAATCTACCGTCCAAATTATTGCGTTGACCAACATCTGATAAGTCTTCCGTCAAAGAACGGTACACTTTTGAATTTTTATGCGACACTTTTTGCCTACGTGGCATCAAAAGAGTAATGGCATTTTCGTAATTAAGTTTTTTCTACCAAAGGCGAAAATGGTATTTTAGATATTTTAGGTTAGTTTTGTAATAAAAATAAAAGTATGTTAAATAAATAATAAACACAAATTTAAAGGTTAGTATAGTAATCCTCTCTACTTAGTATTGGACTATTGTTCAAAGTTCTTAATTTTATCTACTACGTAATTGTATTTGAACAAACATTATCCAGTATCAGCCCTATAGTCGCTGTCACTAGAACAGTTTCTTGTTTCTTAAGGAAAAAGAAAGCTTTGAAATATGGTTTAGGGGTTATAGAAATGAAAGGATGTGATTCTATTAACTACAAAGTAGTCCTTTGATTCACTCACGTCCCCTCTCTCTCTCTCCATTATTATTCAACATTCATCGTTAACATCCTCTGCATCAATACGTATGTTCAAGAACAAACATGATAGGAGAATGAAACTTTAGTTTCTGCTGCATAATACGAAATTTTGTAGGAGATAATTTCCTTGGAAGGGGAAAAATGCAAATGTTTGTGATATCTGGTTACATGAAGAGATGATGAAACGATAGTTAGCTATAATTATATGGTCTAGAAGCAGCTGGTTTTTATTGATTGATATGTTTAATGAGATGTTTTGATGTTTTGATAATATACTATTATCAACCGAAAATTTGATGTTTAATTATTGAATTTTTTAATCTTAGAATACACAATTGGATTACATTCCTTAGAAATAGCATCTTTTAATCAAATATACATATTGAAAGATTTAGTAATGAAGAAATACGACGGTGGAAATGGTGAAGAAACTGGACGGTGGAAGTGGAGTAGAAAAAAGATGACGGCAGCAGAGAAGACACCACTGGAATACACGGACGGACTCTCCGGTAGAGAAAACGACATCAAAAGAGGTGAAAATCGCTGATGGCAGCTAGTAAAGGTCGGCTAAATTAGAAAAAATCGCAGATGAGAGATATTTTAAAAAGAGAAAATGGTGAGAGAGATTTTAGGAAACATTCAGTTTCTTTTTTGATATTAGGGATTTATATTTTTTCAAAAAAAAATTAAAAATGACTGTATAAAAAAGTTGCTGATTGTGTAAAATATATATTTTTCTTTGTAAAATTAAATCAGAATGGCAAATCCGTAATTATCAAAGACAACTTTGGGTTAGATGTCTTTTAATTTTAAATTATAGTTATTATAGTAAAACTGTCAAGAAGAAATCATTCTAGTAATTTTCATTAAAATAAGAGTCGTTTTAAGTAATCTCCAATATATTAAAGTGGAGGCACTATTGGACACTTGGCAGCTCTATGATTAAAGTTGGTATTTAGCTACATTATTAATTCGTTTAATTTTAATTCTCCTACTATCTTTATACCCAAACAGACCGTTATTTCCTAAAACACATTTAACTGCAATAAATTTTCCAAATATTTTTGCATATTCTACATTTAATTCTTTCGTTCCTATAAATTCGAAAGGTGAATTTTTTCTTAGAGGAATTTTATAAACAACTAATAACAATATTTTAAACTTCAAACGGATTAAGTAAGTATCTATATTTTCGCATATTCTACATTGAATTCTTTGGTTCCTATATTTTTGAAACGTATATATTTTACTACATAATTTTTCTAAACTACTAATAACAATAATTTAAACTTCAAACGGATTAAGTAAGTATCTATATTTTCGTATTTTCTAGATTTCTAAACATAAACCTAAACCTTTGGAATTTTTTTAAACAACTAAATAAACATCCATATTGGTAACTCAAACTGCGGAAGATATATATTTATTCCTAAACGAAGAAGAACCGAGATCCTTGGATTATATTAACAAGAAGAAAATTCTAAATTTGAAATATTTAACCTAGCGATACCATGTTCTCTCAATACCGTATATATATAGATGTACGTTTCTCCAATACTTCATCATCCCTCACCTTTCAATACATTTCTGAATCTCAAATTTCATCTTGCTATTATGTCTTCTTTCACCGATCTCTACTCCGTGAAGCCCTTCAAAACTCAATGGAGAGTTTACGTGAAGATATTGAAGGTGTGGAAACAATATTTGAATGGTGTAGAGACGTTGGAAATGGTTGTTGTTGATGAGAAGGTATACTATCTATGTTACTTTTAAGAATTTGTACTAATCTATATATTTCACGACTGTCTTCATTTATTTTCAGTTTCATTCAAACCTATGTATCTTTAAAGCATGCATATTCTTATATATATACACAGAATCAAACCATGCATGTAACTTTGAAGAAGGAGTTCATCAAGAAAAATGAAAATCTTTTAGAGGAAGGTGCCTCTAGAATTATCAAAAAATTTCAAATGGCTCATAACGGTGGTAAGTTCAGGACCAGCCCTCACGTTTACAAAATCCTTTTCGCATCAACATTATCTGTCAAACCGGCAGAAGAAATGGATCCAAGAATCTTAGGTTTCAAGTTCGTCAAGTTTAGTGATATTCACGAAGGCAAAATGAATCCAGATTTCCTGATTGGCAAGTTTATTTTATTACTAAATATTTATTGGATATATAGTTTGTTTGCGTTATTAGAAAGTACTAACATGATTTTTTTTACCTCAGATGCTATTGGACAAATTGTAAGCATTGGGGATGTGGAGATCTTGAATGTTGGAAAGAGACAGACAAAGAGGCTTTCTATGGAGATCCGTGATACAAAGTTAGCATTTACATTACTAATCTATCACTAATGCTCCATATCTTTACTATTTGTGTTTAGTATCCTTTTTTCCTCAATTTATTTATCATTTTCAATGTAGAAATGTTCGACTTAATTCTGTTCTTTGGGGACAATTCGCTGAAAATCTTGAAAGTGTGGCTCAACATGCAAATGATGCTGTGATCGTTGCTGTTTTGCGGTTTGGAAAGTTAAAGCTTTATCAAGGTGTTTGGAGTGTTGGCAATTGCTACAACTGTTCAATGGTCTTTACTGATCCAGTCTTCCGAGAGAGTTTGGCTTTTAAAGAGAGGTAAAAATAATTATCTCCATGTTTTTATTTACTTCTCAAGTTTATATTCTAATAATTATGTAATCTAATCTATACAGATTGCCAAATGATGGTTTAACCCTGACCTATACCCATCCAAATCAGTTGACTATTGTCAATTCTGTGTCAGTAAGGGACGATTTCTTCTTGCATAGTCCTCGAAGGACTATTAGCGAGATTATTGCTGCTTCTGAGATAATTATATATTATGTTTTTTAATTTATATAACATATATTTGATTCTAATATCATTATTCACTTTCAAAGGTTGTCAAATGTGTTATCATGGCCACAATCATGTCTATTGACACTGAGTTTGGTTGGTATTACATGTCATGCGGAGCCTGTGCTAAAAAGGTTCTCCCTCATGATATGGATTACTTAAAAGAACTATATCCTCGGAAAACATTTAAGAAACAATTGTGGCAGTGCAAAAAATGCAATGAGAATGTTGAGAATGTTTATCCATCGTAAGTCTGTTATTGTATTTGTGTTATAGTAAAGTTTTCACTTCTAATAAAGTACAACTTATCCTATTTTGAATTATATGATAGGTTCATGTTGACTTTTCGTGTCATGGATAATACTGGTGAAACCAAATTTCTCTTATTTGATCAAGAGGCAAAGGAAGTTGTCAACCAAACTGCTGCTCAGTTAACTCAGTCTGTTAATGAGGTTCATATTTCTAATCCATTTGTCCATGACCATTTCTGGCTTTATCTATTTAATTTTTTTTTAAATTCTTATTTGTTTAGATTCAGGATCCTGATGTCTTGCCCTTAGCTTTGAGCAATATTTGTGGTAAAACGTTTCTCTTCAAGATTGCAATTAGTTCAAATTAATATTGTTTTCAATAGTGACACATACAAGGTCATCAGTATAATTACACAAAGTGATGTGGTTAAGGAGTTTTCTGAAATTTCTACTCCTTAGGTAAAGTTATATCATTTGGTTATCAAAAAATATTTATACACTAATTCTTTATTTTTTACAATTCATTACTTTCATTTTACGTAGAGCACTCCAAGTATCAAGATAGAGGAAAAAGCTCACAATACTCTTGATGGACAAGTATATTTGTGTATTCTGTTTTCTTACATTCATGTGTACTATTATATAATACTTTCATTGATACAGATTAATTAATATGTTATAGGTTCCTCTAATGATTATGGATGATGATGATTCTGAAATTACACCTGCTTCTAAGCGCAAGAGCAATGAAAAGATGGAAGTGATTAAGGATACTGATGAGTTTTCGGCTGCAAAGAAGAAGTGTAAGGATGAGAAAACTGTTGAGACTAATTCAAGTATTCTGCCCCTTAAGACTGTGAAGACAGAGAAGCCATGATTTAAGAACCAAAATCAGTTATTTTAACTGTTTTATTATGTTTTAATCGTCTGAATAATTGTTTCTTCTATCATTGTTTTTTATTCTACTTAGCTTTTGGATGATTTTTTTTTTGTAATCGGATGGTTATTTTTAATCGATATTATGATGTCGTACCATTTTACACACCATTCGTTTTTTGTTTTACTATGTATATCGTTTTAGTAATTTTCTAATTTGTATTTGAAATCTTATGACAATCATTCAAATGAAATCAATGATATATTAAATAGTAGTCAAACATAATTAGCATATAATCAATTTTAATGTATTACTCTTTATAAATTTATGGAGTATTATTTCAAAAACTGGAAAGAAATTAAATATACTTATACGAATCTATATATCCAAAGATTCGTATAGCTACTAACCGAAAACAAATTCCATCAATAGCTAAAACTGAATAATATATTATAACTTATATCTTTTAACCTTATTACTTACTTTACTTAACTATACTTATCCTTTTCATTTAGCAATTTGTAACTAAATTGATTCTTTCTCTATATTTACGATCTATTTTTTTGGATTTAGATATATGAATTTAAATGTAGAATATTTGTTTTCCTATCCATAAGGGATCACATTTAGTTTGAATTTTCGAACAAACAACCATTCATTCATATAAGTCAAGTTTTCCGCTTCATAACATTCTTTGTGTTCACGTTTACCTCTAATTACATTTATGTTCACTTTCTTATGCAATGCATAGTTCTAAAAAAAATCGTTATGGATACGAAAATGATGAAAAAAGAATTCAGAAAAAACAAAAGACAGCATCTACCAGCCAAACACATTCCACAAAGCCTATTTCTGGTGCATTTGATATGATATTTAGAGATTTAAGCAATTCAAACGATTTGGTGAAGAGTTCATCCCGGATTACATCTGAACATATCTACTTCAAGTGAGTTTTTATCTATTATTTGCTTTACTCAATAGTTTTATACTTTGAATAATTTTTAAATTGTGTTGTCTTTTTTGTTTATATACATAGATGAAATTCTTAGAGAAGTCAGCAACTCTGGTTGTTTCTCTATACGGTCAAACACACCTACATCTCAACAGTGTATGTGAACTATGTTTTATTTAAAAAATCATTTTAGGAATTGTCTTATATGTTAAATGTTATGATATTGTTTGTCTTCATATAGCATTATCAAGCTCATTAAAAGAAAACAGGCCACCTATAAAGAGACCTTTGCAATGCTCACCATCTTCTGACGAAACGGGTTACCTATATCTCAACTACCATTTTTCATTTCTTGCTTTTATATATAGTAAGCTTATATGTTTATACATTCAATGCTAACATATATTATATTTCCAGGTATTAGGTTTGGTAACATCGTATCTGAAACACAATTTTCACGGCCTAAAATTGCAAAACATAATACAACAATTCCTGATCAAAACTATGCAAGCAACGTTAATAATGGTACTGGTGTTATCCAATCATCATGACAAACTAATAGGAATGAAACCACTACCTCTAATATTACCTATGCGACATGCCGATCTGTTGTTAGCAAATTTCGAACAAATCCTAATTCACGGAAGCTAAATTCTGGTATTGCTAAATCTCTACCGTTACAGCCAAGTAAGAATAATTCCATTTATTAATAGTAGAATGGATTGATAACATTTTATCTATAAAAATTATTAACTCATTGTTTGTTTTTCAGTTTTATTAACAGATGGTATCCTTTCATCAGATGATACTAATGTATCTGAATGTACAACCTCAAATACAACCTATGCGACGCCACCATCTGTTGGTAGTAAGTCTCGAACAACTCATGTACCACAACCCCAGCATTCCGGTCTTCCTAAACAATTACATAGGGGTCCAAGTAAGATTACTGAATTGTATTTATATCTAAACGATGTATCTGATTTAATATATAACATTCCTTTTGATTCAAAATTCTTTGGTTATATGTTTTCACCAGAGAAATCAAGCAAGAATACATCAAGCTCAGACACAGTTGATGGAATATAGAAGTCATGTATCCTTCTCTTAATTAGTAATTCATTTTTTTCCTATCACTTTTAAGTTTTATTATCCTTGAATACATATTAATGTACTCTTAACTCTGAATCTAAGTCATTATGTGGTGGAACTCTTCGGTTGACAAAATCATTGCTAGAGAAATACTTGAGAAACAATCTAAATCATTGTTCGAGAGACAGCGAAATGCCAGACATAACAGGAAACGTTTAATGAAAGGGGTTAAGTTTAACGAAAGTCCTCAAGGAACTGATACTATAGCAGAAGATTATGATCATGAACGTAAACCTGTGATATTGGAAAATGGTTATGTCTCTAATTCTACACATTTATATTGATACTTTTTCCGTTATATTATTAACTGTATTAATTGTTTAATTATCTCGAATGTTATATTACCTCAGGATATTATGATGATGGTGATTTGATGTATGAATGCACTCACTGCAAAGCAAGGATGTGGTTTAATGAACGAATTTAGAAAAAGAAGAAGAGTGCAAAATATATATTTACTATATGTTGTTTGCAGGGAAAAATTTAAGCTATCCTTACTTAACCAACCTCCTCCATTTTTTATATATCTCTTCTCGAGTGATGATGAAATTTGTCGCCAGTTTCGTGAGAATATCAGAGCTTACAACATGATGTTTTCTTTTACATCTATTGGTGGAAAGATAAATTACAATATAAACAAGGGTCGTGGTCCACCCGTATTCCAACTAAATGGTGAAAATTATCACTTAATTGGTTCTTTGATTCCTCAAAGGAAAGAGAAACCAAAGTTCTTTCAGCTGTATATCCATGATACAGCTAATGAGATAACAAACAGAGAGAAATCAATCAGGTATGCACTGTACGCACTATTTTAATATCCATTCACATTAGTGTTTACTAATTGTTAATATGTTTATCATACATTACATTTAATTATGCACTTTCTTACTATTTCAGCAAGAATGTCTCTAGCACGATCAAGTTAAGGCGCGTTAATTGAATGTCTCATGAAGATGTTAAACTTTTGTAATCCGATGGTGAAAGCTTTCCGTTCTTACAAAGACAGATACAATATTCAACAACCAGAAGACAACGTCAAGTTAGTTCTCATTGCTAACAGGAATAAAGATGCTAGAACACATAACATGCCAACTTCCACAGAAGTCGCAGCCTTGATTCCTGGGGATTTTCAAGAAGGAATGGATATATGAGATATTGTATTAAAGACTAAACACGGAAACCTCAGAAGAATTAGTGAACTCTATGTGGGTTATCTAGCTCTTCAGTATCAATTATTATTTCCATATGGTGAGGATGGATTCACTGTTGGTATTGAAGACAGTTTTGATGATGGCAACAAACGGAAACGGAAAACTATAAGCATGCGAGAATTCTATGCTTATAGAATTCAAGATAGGTTAATGGAATCTCGGTCAGTCATTTGGACTAACGATTGTATCAGCAGTTTCTGGTTGATGTGTTTACTATGATAGAGTCTAGCCGACTTCGATATTTCAGGAACAATCAGAAGAAGCTTCGTTCAGACAAGTATATGAATCTGGTTGAGGCTGAAAAGGAAGGAACCTCTGATTTATCCAACAGAGGTAAGAGGATTTTGATACCTGCATCATTTACTGGTGGTTCACGCTATATGAACAATAACTATTTGGATGCAATGGCCATTTGTAAGCACTTTGGATTTCCTGATCTTTTTATAACTTTCACCTGCAATCCAAACTGGCCCGAGATAATTAGATATACAAAAAAGCGAAATTTGAATCTTGAAGATAGACCAGATATCTTATGCAGGATATTCAAAATTAAGCTAGACAGCCTCATGAGTGATCTCACTGAAAAGAACATTTTCAGAAAAAGTGTTTGTGGTATGTTAAGTTTTCATTCTTAATATTTTTATTTATAATTTGATTAAAATTGTTATAGTAATCCATATTTGGTTGTTTTATATTAACAGGTATGTATACTATTGAATTCCAGAAAAGAGGACTTCCACATGCACATATCCTACTATGGATGGCGGAAAAAAAGCAAATTGTCTACTGCTGAATCTATTGATAAAGTTATTTCTGCTGAGATTCCTGACAAAGATAGTGTTCCGGTTTTGTATGAAGTAGTGAAGCAGAACATGATACATAGACCTTGCGGAGTGATTAACAAAAGTAGTCCATGTATGGTAAATGGGAAGTGTTCTAAGCAGTTTCTAAAGAAATAGTGTGAAAGAACTACTATTGACAACAGAGGGTTTCCACATTATATGACAAGGAAGACTGAAGCATTTGTTGAGAAAAATGGACTACAAATTGACAACAGTTTTGTTGTGCCTTATAATAGAGAGCTATCGTTGTGATATAGAGCTCACATCAATGTTGAATGGTGTAATCAGGCAAGGTCAATCAAATACCTTTTCAAATATATCAACAAAGGACCTGATCGTGTTCTAGCTACTATTGAACATGATGTAAATCAAGGTGCAGAATCTGTAGCATGCGCAAATGTAGATGAAAACGGCGAGGATAATACTGATGAAATTAAGGAGTACTTCGATTGCAGGTAATATTTAATTGGATATAGATTGTATGCATGTTTTATAAGTTGTAAAAGTTTTTATCACAAACTAAATATTTACTGATTTCTTTGTATGTAGATATGTTTCTGCATGCGAAGCTACATAGCGTTTGCTAGCATTTCTAATCCATTTTAGGACGAATCCAGTGGAGAAACTCTATTTTCATCTTGAAAACGAGCAATTAGTACTTTTTGATGATGATGATCCAGTTGAAAATGTTCTAAATCGCAGGTCCGTATAGAGCTCAATGTTTTTAGCATTTTTTAAAGCTTGCAATAAGTATCCAGAAGCTGAAAACCTAACATATGCTGAGTTTCCTACAATGTTTATTTATGATCGTACAAATATTAAATGGAAACCAAGGCAACAGAAGAATAGGTTAGCCGTTGGTAGAATAACCTATGTACCTCTGAAATGTGGCCAATTGTACTACCTTCGTGTTCTACTCAACCGACACAAATGTCCAAAGGGGTTTGATGATTTGAAGACAGTTGATGGTGTTTTACATCCTACATACAAAGATGCGTGTTATGCATTGGGTTTACTAGATGATGATAGAGAATATATAGATGGGATTAATGAAGCAAGCATGTGGGGTTCTGGTGACTTCCTTCGAAAACTGTTCTGCGTTATGCTATTGACTGATAGCCTAATTAATCCATTTGGAGTTTGGGAAGAAACTTGGAATTTGCTATCTGATGATATTCTTTACAGAAGAAGATTATTTGAAAACAATCCAGGTATTTCTTTTATGTTGTAAAAATGGTCTCTAACTATATATCTTATGTATACCATAATACTTTATGCAAATATTAAGTATTGGATTTATATAAATATGCTGTGATCATTTTTCAGAACTGGACCTCTCTGATGAACAGCTAAAAAATTACACATTGGATGCAATTGAAACTATACTGCAAAGCAATGGTGGTTCTCTTTCAAATTATGATGGAATGCCTTTGCCAGAGGGTGATTACAACACAGCTGGTATCAATAGGTTAATATACGATGAAAGAAACTATGATAGAGAGGAAATGAAGGCTATCGTAGAACGAATGGTTCCTGGTTTAACTGACGAGCAGATGAATGTCTACAAAGAGATCATGGAAGCTGTCACAGAAGATAAAGGGAAAATATTTTTCTTATATGGGTTCGGTGGTACTGGTTACTGTCTGCTGCTGTTTGTGCTAGAGGTGAAATTGTTTTGAATGTTGCAAGTAGTGGAATAGCATCTCTGTTATTGCCTGGTGGTAGAACCGCACATTCCCGTTTCAGTATACCAATAAATCCAGATGATGATACTACTTGCAATATTCAACCAGGAACAGACTTAGGGAATTTGGTTGCTGAGTCATCTCTTATTATATGGGACGAAGCACCTATGATGAGTAGATATTGTTTTGAAAGTTTGGATCGTACTATGCGCGATATTATTAAGCGTCATAAGGAAAAACCATTTGGAGGAAAAGTTGTTGTGTTTGGTGGTGATTTTAGACAAATTTTGCCCGTTATCAGTGGTGAAGGAATGGAAGACATTGTTATGGCTTCTATTAATTCGTCATATTTATGGGATGATTGTAAGGTGCTCATGCTTACAAAAAACATGAGGCTTTTGGCTAATCTTGATGAAACCGTAGCAGAGTAAATCAAATCATTTTCAGAATGGATCCTTAAAATTGGCGACGGTAAAATTAATCTACCAAACACAAGAGAAGTTATGATCGACATTTCTGATGAACTTCTAATCCAAGAATGTGATGATCCCATAAAATCTATTGTCGAGGAAGTTTATGGTTTAAGTTTTGAAGAGCAAACCGATCCTCATTTTTACCAGGAAAGGGCTATTTTTTGTCCAACGAATGACGATGTATGCCTCATCAACGAGTACATGCTTTCTATGTTGACAGGTAAACACAATTACCATTTTTTATCGTTTACTTCATTTAGTTTTAAAGTTTTTTATTATATTGATATACTGTACTGATATATCTATAAATTTTTATTATCAAGGTGAGGAGAAGACTTATCTAAGTTATGATTCTATAGATCCATCTGATACATCTAACCAGGATAGCAGAGTATATACTCCTGATTTCTTGAATAATATAAAGTTGTCTGGTCTTCCTAATCATTCTTTGAGATTAAGAGTAGGAACACCAGTTATGCTATTAAGGAATATAGATCCAAAGGCTGGTTTGTGCAATGGGACAAGGCTACAAATCACCCAATTAGCTGATCATATCATCGAAGCTATTGTTTTGACTGGTGACACTCATGGTCAGAAAGTTTATATTCCAAGGTTGAATGTCGCACCTCCTGAAGGAAACTTTCCATTCAGAATGCGAAGAAGACAATTTCCTTTGGCTGTTGCCTTTGCTATGACCATAAATAAAAATCAGGGTCAGACACTTTCAAGCGTCGGTCTATATTTGCCAAAACCTGTTTTCTCTCATGGGCAGTTATATGTTGCTCTATCTAGAGTAAAATCAAAGGATGGGTTAAAGGTTTTTATTATTGACAAAGATGGTAAACCTCAGAAACAGACAATGAACGTTGTATTCAAAGAAGTGTTCCAGAAGATATAGTTTCAACATTACAGTTAAGTTATAACTTATAATAATGTTTACGTTTGATAACAGTATGATTTTTTAATTAAGGTGTATGATGGATTTGTAATGTATTCAGGAAGTTGGAAGGAAAGCTATTGATGTCGTGATGGAGCAAATGATTCATGATATGTTTGGTTTATAGCAATATGTTGGTCTACTATTTGATATTTATGTATTATTACCCACCAATATAGATACATTAGTTTTTTTTTATATGCAAAATTGATTTATTACAATCTCAACAGCTTATATTATAATTTGATAAAGTTTGACATATACGTTTGATTTATATACATTTGTCTACAATTAAATACTAATTGGAATCATTCATATTTGTAGATTACAAATAATTTATTATATATACTGATGTCTTGCCTAACCAATACTCTCCTCACTTAATAATAGTCTGCTTTTCACCTCCAAGCAAGTAGTAATTATTCAAGTTATACAAGTTCATTAGACTTGATATTCAATCAAATAAAGCTATTGTTCTTATTAATTTATTAGTGTGTAGCGTTGATTTAATGATATAATGATATACATGGATCTTTTAGATTACACAATATATTTCACGTAGATATCGAACAACTATATCCCGAATATCTTGGCAGTTACCTTTTCCATAATATTCCATATAGTTAAACGAAAACCCTATCACAAAGGTGTCACTTTATATAAAGAGTATACCGTGTTATATCTTTATCGTTTTGCCTTACTTTGATTCTTATATGCTTTATAGTCATGAGTTGTATTTTCGATTATATATCTGATTTAGATCTGTTTACTACTGATTGGAAAATTAGAGTTAAAATTATTAAGAATTGGAAACAATATACTCCACAACGGGGAACTACTCTCAATATGAAACTAAAAGACGAAGAGGTAATCGTAATAATATCCTTGCTTTCGTTTTCAGTAATTTAATTATTTACTACATTAAGAAACACGTTTAGTGTTTCTTTTGCAGGGCCATACAATTTATGCTACAGTTTATAGAAAATACATTCAATTCTTCGAGAATAGTATTGTAGAAAATTTGTGGGTTACAATAGAAGATTTCGCTCTTATTCCTATTCATGATGAAGACATTACCACAACTTCGAACTTTATTATTCAGTTCATAATTTCTACTGTTGTTACTCCTATCAGATATGTGGAAGGTATTTCAAACCTCTTTATTGTAATCAGATTGTAATACTATTGGTTAGTTCATTTTAGATTAATTAAATATCAGTAATCTATTAATGCAGTTTGTAAAACGAGTCTACAAGGAATTAGATGTATCAGCCATTAAAAATTTATTAGGTATTGTACGTACTAATTTTCATAAATTGTTTAGGGCTTATTATATTAACATTTTCCCTTTACTCACTACATTTTATCATTTTACAGGATTTATAATCAATGCAAATGAGAATAATCGAGTACAACCACATCTCAACATTCTACATTCAGTTTCGTCATAATAAGAAAATAATTTATTTATATTATTATTTATAATCAGTTGTAGTCCATTTTCTCGAAATAAACAATGTTATCATATTTATTGATTACTGAAATGTATTATCAAGCAGTTAGATTTTTAATCTGACAGTTTATGTATTCCTTTGTTGTAATTATAATTTACAATCTTTAGAGTATTCTATTATACTTTCTAATATAGACTTACCATATTCCATCATGCATAATTTTGTAATTATTGTATGTAATTGTTTTTGAATTTTTTGAGTCTTCCCATATGACGAACCTTACTACTTTCCAAATATATTTGAATAATCATATCCAGTATTTCTATGACATATGAAACTTCCCTATATTAATATCACGAATTTAGTCTAATAATTTATTGAGACATTAAAATGATATATATTACCTTAATTATTGCGTTATATATATATACGCTATATATATTCGAGATTTTTTAATATAACGCATTGTTGCGTATACAGATTATCATCGAATATTATCTACTACTTTTGTAGTTGATTTGAAAACACAATGACATATATATGTTTTCCTTTTATGTCTTCAATACATATTGACTAGCTGTGTAAGTAACTTTATTGATATGATAAATATATTTTGATTATATATGGGCATAATTTAATGTAAATAAATATCATACAATAATGGAAATTTAAAAAATATCTAAACACATTAATATTTCCGAGACCACATATTTCTTACCATTTTATTATTCAAACCTTCAGTTACTATTTTCTAGAAAATTAAAAGCTCTCTGGAATACCCTTCAATGGAAGACTATGACCTCATTACAGATCATTACAATTTATGTTGATGGACGAAGAGGTACTTATTTTATTGTTCTCTTATATTGTTCTATTTTTGTTATATTACATTGAGATATTGGTTTGTATTTTCTAAATTATCTTATATATTCAGGGTGAGACTATTCAAGCTTATCTATATATTACTGATTTAATCAAAGCTTTCGACAAGACAATTGAAGAAGGAGAATGGATAAGTATTTCAGAATTTGTGGTCTTTGATGAAACATCAGATGAACCAAATTCTCCTATTGGTAGTTGTATCAGGTTTTTAAATAACACTGAAGTGGTTCACATAGATCCTATCGAATTTGATACTGCACAGGGTTTTGTTTCTTTTTTTGATGTGCTTGGTGGCAAAACAGAACCTGGTCTTCCTATCGGTATAGTTATGCCTATTATTATAAATCTTATATTTCATTACTATTTATCTTAATTAAGAAACTGACTACATAGCATATATATTGTAATTTTATTTTCTTCTTCAGATATTCTCGGGTTTGTTATAAAAATTGATCCCCTAGACACGGTGAATGATGATTCATACCCTGAAAGACATGATAAGAAGACTGCCAGTATATCTTTCACTATCAAGGATCATAAGTAAGTTTCCAATGTTTTTTGGTTGATGTATTTGTTAATGAGTCAATAAACAGTTTATTTGTTAAATAATATGCTGTTGTAATCGATATGTAGAGGGCTATTGTTATCGTGTGTTGCAGACCACATGCAATTGATTTCAATGACAAGATCTTCAGTGAAAATCAATTACCATTTGTTGTTATGTTAACCGACTGGTCTGTTAAACAAAAAGAAGGTTAGTAGAAATTACATTATTAATATTGATTGATTATTGATTTCTTTATTGTGATATCTATGAAATAACATTTATATTATTGTCATAGCTGGATACTATATTCGGTCTAGAGGAGGGATTTCTAGAATCAAGTTTCATCCTGATTGTCCACGAGCCAAAACTTTGGTTAGAAGGTAAACTATTATATGCACCTTATTTTAAATATAATCAAATATTTGGTTTGATATGTTTGCTTACAATAATTGATTTATTTGCAGGTTTTGGAACACCCAGAATAAACCTACAAATGTCATTGATTTGAGTTGTAATGATTATGAGGCAAGTCCATCTTCCGTGAAGCCTAGAAACTGATCGAAAATCATATTTGAGATTTCAATATATTTAATTATTTATTTTATTTTAAATGTCTTTCTTTCTTTCTTTGTATCTGACATGAATTTACTTATGAGATGTTTAAACTTTGCTTTTTATTGAATTTACTATTGAGTTTATGATGTAAGAAAAATGCTTTTCATTATGATTCTGTTGTCAATATTTATATGAACTCAATAATCTGAAATTAACTTTTTTAATACATGATTTATAAATATGAACTCAATAATCTGAAATTTATATTTTAAATGTTTAATAAAACTATATATATACGGTTATGTTCTTTGGCAAAATCGTAATCATAATATAATAATAATGCATGTTTTTGTCAAATATTTATTTTATAATAAATGTAACTAATTAATTTCATATCGTTTGGTAGTTGGATTATTGTTGAATACATAATTTTAGGACCTGTGCATGCAAAGTGACAATATTGACTTGATTTGATCGATATCTGATTTCAGCTTTTCATTTATTGCTATTTTCGTTCGAAATATTTTTGCATGTATAGATTCACGTCGTTTAAACTTCACTTTGATTTATATACATTTTGGTTACTAAACAAACTTATACTCAATTTAATTTTGCAATATATAAAATATTCATGTCAATATGAAAGTATATATAGCTTCTTAATTTTTTATGAAAATTAAATGTTACACAACTTATTAATATTGAAATTTAATTATAGTAAGGGAATTAATATAGTCTTTGTATCTTTGCATAAATATTAATTGTATTTGATAGAAATATGTTTGTATCATTACATCTGTAACTTCCTTTTTTTCCTTTCTGAATATAAACTGATACATCTACTGACAACCTCTTACACCGATTGAACTAGATTCGGTGAACTTATTCCTTTTTTTAACAAAATAAATATTCCATTTTTGTATTTATTGCGATTAAATTTATTCCAACCATCGCGACCTTACTCAATAAATTTTCTACATCTTCTATATATATATAGCGTACCTTTAGTCGTCCATCACTTCATCCTTAACAAAGAGAAAACCTAAAAAAAATCATCAATATCTCTGCATAACAAAATGGCCGACTATTCAATGGTTAAAGATCTCACACCATGGGAGGAGTTCAAACAGACAATCAAAGTGAAGGTACTCAAGAGATGGGATACGGTTGATTCAGAAGGCCATGAAGGAATGTATTTCATCTTGGTTGATGAAATGGTAAGATTCGTTATTGTCCACAGAATTCATTTATTTTTTGGTTGTTAATTGTTGCTAATTTAACTAAATATTATAATTTGCTAGGGATCTCGAGTTGCTGCTATGGTTAACGACTTCAAACTCTCTTACTACAAGAGGGTTTTCCAAGAAGGTGCTTGGCTTCGACTTTCACAGTTTCGCTTGGTTAACTCCGGTTGGAATGAAAGAACCACAAATCATGCTTACAAGATCATTCTCAATCAGAGTTCAAAGGTGAATTATATCAGACCTTTGAGCCAGGATCTTTTCATCAAAATCGTTGATTTTCCAAGTGTTTACAACCGTCCTTCTCACTACTACCCGATCGGTATGTTTCCTTTTAATAATATTCTGTTTTTGTATAAAATGCATACGTCTCGTTTTGTTTTTCATGTATTCAAAACAAAATAAAATAAAGCTATGTTATATAGACATGCGTTGATTATTGGGTTTTTATTCAGATGTGATGGGTATTTTTGATAAGGAGATTGGCAATGTTGTTGAAGATTTCAATGATGAGAACAGTGTTTCAACCCTACATTTTCGTATCATGGATATAGAGTAATGCATTCTACTATGTTTTATTTGATCTTATGATTATAGAAATTTCTATTTAGTAAGAATTTTTCTTTATCTCTAGGGGTAACACACTGAACTGTGTCGCACATGGTGATTTGGCTTATGATATCAAGGAAAAATCAAACTGCGAATTACTTAAAGGACCATATCCCATATGTGTATTGACTGATTGAGTTGTTAAGAAAAATGAGAGTAAGTAGCCATTATGTATTTATTTTTGCTTTGATATTTATTTTTAGTCAAATTGTTTTATTCTTTATAATTTTTTTTTATATAGATGAAATTATGATCACTGATTTTGAAGAAGGAAAGCTCTCACGTTTCTTGGTTCATCCAGATATTGATGAAGTAAACGATCTCCGTGCCAAGTAATATTTTCTCTTACCTTAATAATCACATTTTCAATTTAAAATTTATTTTAGTTATCCTTACTTATTTTTATTTTATGTATTTGTTCAGGATTTGACAAAAGCTAAGGGATTCGGCCCACAATCCTTCATCTTCTGGAACAAGAGATGTGTAATTTGATTTCATCAAATCCTGAAATTCTTTTTCTTAACTATCTTTAATTTCATGTCAGTAATCAAAAGAAGTGATGTCCTCCTTCTTTGTTGACTGTTAAGACTTATGTTTTATTTCTCGGATTTCTTTGAAGTTACACTTTGAACTATTACCTTTTTTATTTTAACTATTTTAAATATATTTTATGTTATCATAATTATTATAATTTGAAAAAGATAACAATTTATGCAAACTAAATGATCTTATAAATCGAATACAATCGTTCATTTATAAATTTACTTTATTAACAAATTTTTAATTCAATTTAATTTTAGTACTAACGATGTAACCACAAAAAAGAATTAATAAGTTAGTTAATAATGAATTTATATTAAATTATTATGTTAAATTATTAATGGAGATATTTGGTAATATACTAATAATTTTAACGTTTTTTATTTGTTCTTACTTGGTATTTACGTAAACAATGATACTTCGCTGTGCTATATCTCCAATTGTTTGTCTCCTTATATTTCAGCATTTGGAAAATATAATGACTAGATATCCGGAAGAATTTAGATATGATAGTAATCTTATTATTAGAAATTTTATGTTTAGGGTTCAGTATTCCTTAAATTAATCATTGCTAATATTTGATTAGATATTCTATAATCATCTTTCCTTATTTACGCGAGATAACACAGATAATGAATATATATGTAACAAATCATTTTAAAAAAGATTACGAATACGACTTCCATATATTTGTTATATTACTTATTTGAAGTTGCACAAAATATACGTTAATATTTAATTCTATAATCTGTTAAATGTATCGTAACTACTTCAACAAAACTATGGAAATATTCTTAAACAATATAGAGAATCGTAATTTATGTCATCTAAGATATAACTAACAAGATACATATTCCTAAAATCACTGACTGTTGCAAATTTTTTTACAATTTGTCGTATATACGCAAATAATTTTGGGACGTCATATCCTTACTTTACTAACATACTCCTATATAAACCTTTGCTGCAAACCATTTTATTCATCTTTAATTGAAAACTCAAACAAAATGCGTGAATACCAAATGGTGCATGAGTTACAATCTTGGGAGGATGGTTGGACAATTAAGGTGAAGATTTTAAAGAGATGGGGGGCGTTTGATGCTGACGGTCTTCGTGTGATGAATTTCATATTGGTTGATGAGAATGTAAGTTTGATACTCATCTCTATCAATGTTTTATATTATTAGTACTTCATATCGTTTTGCTACTAATGTTTTATATCAATTACCCTAACAGGGTTGCAGAATTTCTGCCTACGTTGGTAACCTCAATCTATCCTATTTTGAATACGTTTTGCAAGAAGGAAATTGAGTGCAGTTATCCAAATTCAAACTAATTCCTTCTAAGTGGGAAGAACGGACTACAAGACACGTTAAGCAAATAATTTTAGATGGTGAAACTAAGGTCAGTTCCATCCGACCTTTGACTGGAGATCCTTTCCTTCGTTTTGTTGATTTCAGCCATGTTTACAATAAGCCTTACAGCCACTTCTACCCAGTTGGTAAGTATTAACATTTATCTTTATTAATTATGTATTTAACTATGTTAGTGTTATCGATTATAGTATTGTATGATTGATTGTGTAATATTGATCAGTTGTGGTACTACAATATTTTTTAATCCAGATTTGATTGGTGTTCTGGATCATGTCGAAAATATGGTAACAGTTGTTGATCCCGATGACAAAAGTGTTCCAACACTGAGATTCCGAATTAAAGATCTGGATTAAGTAATATAATGGTTTTATGTTTTTATATCATTATTTGAGATACAATATAATCATAATAATTATAATGTGTAGGAATTGTACTCTTAACTGTGTTGCACATGATGACTTGGCTTACGAGATAGAAGGGAAATGCAAAGGTCCTGTAGGGAAGAGTCCATTTGCTATTTGTGTCTTAACTGATTGGTTGGTTAAGAAAAACATTGGTGCGTTTATATGATTTTCATATTTATAAGACAACCTTATACACATTCAAAACATGATAACCTTATCTTATTTATATATTAGATGAAATAACAATTGAAAATTACAAGGAGGGATCGCTTTCACGTTTTGCTATTGCCCCGCCATTGGATGAAGTCAAAAGCTTTGGGATCAAGTAATAAACGTTATTAACATTCAATAGTTTTAGATTATGATTTTTTTTAACTGACTAATTACATGAAAAATATTCTTCTCAGGCTTGCAAAGAAGATAACGGAAGTATACGTGAGTGCTTCAAGTTCTCAAGGAAGAAAGGATTAGGACTTATGTTATGCTATCTTATATTTTATATTCTATTTTATATTTTGTTATGAGTGGTGTTCTCCTAAGTTTGTTTTAATAAATACTTTGTTTCTCTTCCTACCATATTTAATATGATTTCAATAAAGTGTATTATTTGGATATTAATTTTTTGTATTATTTGTTAGTCATATATTTTGCCTTTTCATTCACTAATGAGTAGTAGAAATTTAAAATAGACATGTATTACCAATCCTTAACACGCAACCAACTTAACAAGTTTTTTTCTGTTATATAACACAGTTTATATATATCGTTGTACTTCTATATAAATAGTACTATCATATCATCAATAAATAAAAAATCACTAAGATATAATCAAAATAATATATGAATTTATTATTGGATTTTTAGTTACTAATTTTGAAACTATAAATATAGATTCCTGATCTTAGAAAATATCCATTCGAGATATTCGGTTTCCATTAGACATATTAATCTAACTGTATTACTATAAACCTAAAGCCTCCGATATATATTGGATTTTGCAGTTGTCTAAAACTTAGATACCACACCGTACCCTTTCACCATGGAACTCTATCACCGAGTTTCCGATTTGCATTCATGGAGATCGGACTGGAAAATCAAAATATTGGTTTTAAAAAAATGGGAAACTCTTGGTCCACAAGGAATTGAAGGTTTGGAATTTATTCTGGTGGATGAAGAAGTAAGTTATTATTATTTATTTCATAGTAGTATTATTATTCATAAACATCTAAATATATTGATACTGAACGTTTCAGGGATGCAAGATTCAAGCTTCGATGACTAATCCTGTGTTGGTTTCGTATTATGATCAAGCTTTGCAAGAAGGAAAGTGGAATACTCTACATGATTTTGTTGTAAATGATTCATTTTGGTTTCAGAAAAACAACTCATCATAAATGGAGGATTTTTCTACTTCAGAATACTACTGTCAAAAGGCTATATGAAATCCCCACTGATACTCAATTTATGTCTTTCTCAGAGTTTGAGGATATTTTGGATGGAACTATTGATCATAAGTATCCTATTGGTATTTGTCTTGTATAATTCTCATTGATTTTCAATTTAAAATCTTTTAAACATCTTTTGATACTTTATGTGATATTAGATTTACTTGGTGCTGTTGTCCACGTTGGACGACTTACAAGGATTAAGGATTACAGACTAGATTGTGATTTTCGTAGATACTATAGTCGACTACGATTTACGTTAAGAAATCTCAAGTAAGTATTTGAATCGTTACCCATTTAATTGTATGTTATTAAGATAACAATATATTTTGTTAATATATTGTAGGAATGTTGAAATTAGTTGTGTTGCTTATGGTAACTTGGCTGATGATTTCCAATCACAATGGTGGTCTGCCTGTGGTTCTAATATAACATGTGTATTGACAGACTGGCGTATAGCTTACAACAATGGTTTGTTTCTAACTAAGTTATTAATATTTAATCATGATAACAGTAGTTATTATGGTTAGACCAAATATTAACTATACGTAAAATCTATGTTTTAGGGACATTGACTGTTTCGGATGCAAGAGGGATGTCAAGGTTTCTTTTTGATCCCCATATTGTTGAAGTTGACAAGTTCAAAGATAAGTAAGTACTATATAAGTATTTGATATTTTTCTAAATGCCAGTAATAACATATCTGTATATAATTATTTAGGTACTTCAAATCCAATAAGACGGAGAACAATGACATTGAGATTAAAGACTAATCTCATATATCATATTCACCTATTAATTATAGTTGGAGGTTCAACTATTCATGTCGTTTAGCTACAAAGGTGACCAAGTGAAGTAGTCAACATTTTACTTCTATGAACTTCTGTCAAATTCAGGATTTATCAATAAGATAGATTGCTTTCATTATTCTCTATAGATGTTTGTTCATTACGATATATATATGTATATATGTTTGTCTAATACTATATACGTTTATATTATGTAGACAACATTGAAAATTTAAATAATATCATCCTCAATTATAAATAACCAAAACCATACCAAATTAATATACATTCAAGTAATGCGACAGATAAATAAAATTGTTCTTATAACCTAACTATTAACATACACACAAATAAAAATTTTAATTGTATATGCTCTCCAAACTTGAAATCTCTATAAAAAAAAACTTCCTGTGCACGGGTCTAAATCTAGTTTCTCAAATTTAATTAGGAGGAAAACATAATCAAAATTTCAAATTTCAAAAGAAACATAACAAGCTAGAGAATGCTATTTCATATTCAAAAATATGACGATGATAATGATGATACCTGCAAGTTACTTGAATGCATCCTCCGGAAAGTTCGAT